GAGTACTGAAGTCCTTGATATTAACTGGAAAATTATTCCAAATACAAACCGCGCGGAAATGTTTTGAGATATGAGAAGCAAGCTTTCATACCACGTTCCTCAGAATACTGAACAACTTGCACAGATACATAATAGCGGATACATTCCAATATCGATAGATTTACGGGATACAAGTAAAACAACACCCCCCCCACACACACACACACACCGAGTCCACAAAATAGACACCCGGGATGCTTTTTTGTGTTTTTGTCTGTCGCAGTTTGATGATATAATTGTCTTATTTCAGAATTTGGTTCTGACCAATGCCGTGTAAAGAGTGATAGCCCTTCTAAGAAAACACCCAAACTTACAAATAACGGAAACTATGCACCAATATACCAATATATTAATATAAGTTGAACACTTTTAGAAGGAATCACAATAGGTAACAAAGTATTATTTAACTACAGCCTTGGAATGTAGTGGATGACGTGTATGGCAAGAGTCAATGACACCCCGTCATGTTGTCACGTGATTACATTAATATTGTCGTTACAGTATGCGCGTCTTTTATGTGTTATACCATAGACCCTCTAAAAGAGGGTCTATGGTTATACGCGTGATCGTTTGTTTGAAAATTACCTGTTTACTTTTAGTAAATCACTATTGGTTTATGTATACAATTTGTTATTAATATCATTGTTTTTGGGTGTATATTGTATATATATACATAAGATTTTGTTCATAATGTTACCTCACATATGCAATTACCAGATCACGGGAATTCGAGTGCGTGCGTACGTCATGAAACTAAACACAATATTACAAACATACATCAAGCATATTATATTTTCTACATATGTTGCGAAATTTACAAACATGCCGTGAGAAATCGCAGTTGTTTGTCAAATAACGATTCCTGATATGAATGAATAAAACCTCCAATAATGTCAAAAAATAAATTACACCTATCAAAAGCCAAATAACATATGTTATGGCTTGGAGTGGAAACTAAAATCACACAATAATTGTGAAAATGATGTCAAGGTAGTTGTTAATAACAGCATTTAGATATAGCCGGGTAGAGTCAAATCTCCAGTAGGCATTACCGCGCTTTCTATTCATGGCATTGGTCGTTGCAATGACGAAAGAAGAATGGGTCGTTAAATCACACACCTTAGTTTTGTTAAGGTCTATGGTTAAACCTATACATGCGACTAAGAATGTCCGTCGTCGCCTTAGTGATCTATCCTGAAACTCCCTCAGTAGTTGGCACAATGTTCTTCGGAATACCACAACTACGAGTAGCGACGCACAAGTATTAACAATATTACTTCTAATAAAACATCGTTATTATCCCTCTCACTGTCACAGACCTAGAAGCCCTGAAACTGACGTGACAGAAAATAATAAATGTGGGTGTGGTGCCAACGACGCGACACGAAACGAAACATCTAGCATCTATGGACGAATATGATTCATTATTGAGAAATGGTACTTTGTCATAAAGTTCTACCAATACCACGATTACCTTTCAGTAAGTCTAGCAACAAATCACTAATGTTGGTACTCACCGCTGGTTATTATAGTAGACTTTATGACATGCTCACACCGATTGACGTTTTATCCAGCGGTCAACGGAGTTACCATGGACACCTATCACTAGTTTCTGTCGGATTAGCTGGGCCTATCGCAGCTAATGATCACAATGCGCATGGAATGATCCGGAATCATGTACACGAGTCACGAACTGAAGCACGGGATTGTTTTTGTAGTATTATTGTAAAGTGTTTAAACATGTAGACAAATCAGTCCGTTGAAGAACAATATACCAGTAAGTTTCAATATTACTAAGGGGTGACCGTTATTTGCGTGGGGGTGATTATGACAGTTTTTTTTATCTTTTGTCCGTTTCTACGTTTCGTTTCTCTTAGTCAACCTCTACCTCTAAAGTACTACACAACGGTTTAATCACACAATGACAGCATTCACAATGGTTGATGGGGAGGGAGGCTTGTACAAGTTCAGTATTCGTTAATTGTTCATTGTTAGAAGACAACAATTACCAGACATTTAGACATTTTTGTGAATGATTCTTATCTTATCGCGACCTTCTACTTGAGCCCCTGCGTTGGTGGCTTTGGAACGTGATAGTGAGCGGACATCGCACCGATACATGTCGTACTCGGAGCTATCAGTCCCAAAACAGATGGCTAAACCTCGGAGAACAGAGACAGCATATCAAATTATAAACGTTTTCTCTTTCGTCTCAATGTTTGCGTTACGATTTCGCACACTCTCGTTCGTCAATTAAAATGACAATTTATGGTTGGACCAATATGTCCGTTGGGGTAACTAGGGAGGGTTACAAATGTATTATCTCACCTGATTCGATTCATGACACTTTCTAGTTCGGAGAGGGTATGAATTCCCAGTAGGATTGATTATTCGTTCCGCTTTAACAAATATAATCGTCCGTTCCTTAACGCCTTTAGAATCTACATCTAGGCGGGAATGTTTTATGGAATATCCACTGAATTCTGTACATTGCATTGGCGTTTCGAGCTTTATTCCCAGTTTCTCAGTTCATTGTAACTAAGTGAACTGTATACCACGTGTATAGCTCCAATATATAGTCTGGTAGTATGAACAGGAACATGGATGCACCGACTATCCCCTATAAATCATGTTGCTAATAAAATACATGTAATTTAAGGATGGCATACGGATCGTAATTTGCAAATCGTTTTTTCGAACCATTAGTTATAACAATAATAACAATACGAACTGAAATACGAGGCGTGCATATATTTGCCACAAATATTATTCAAACAGCCTCATTGATTATAGGTAAATGTTTGTATGATGAGCAATGAATGTGATGGGGCCATTATAGCCATGACAACGGCCCTGATTGATGTGGAAAATTTAACATCTGTGATTACACGAATACATACTTATCACGTTGGATGTGTCACAGATAAAAAATGGTCAACACGAAATAAAACATGAAGATTTTTTGAGTATGCGAAAACGAACTGAACCCAACACACCACAGATTTGGAATGGTTTAACCCCAAAAAGTTGCCAACCCGATCCACCGTCAATATCGTGCGAAAACAATGAAACATTGGGTGGCTGGCGAGCGCCGAACGGTTTGTCGATTTGCGTCAATTGTGGAGCCGCCTCACGGAAACCTTTCGTTTTTTTCTGGCATTTGCTCGACCTTCTGGACTTTATAAATGGTCTATTATCATTCTTTGGTTCAGCAAACTTATTTAGAGTATGATATCTTTATTTAGCGACATTTCTGTGACATGCACGTGACGTCCACAGTATTTAGAACTGATAACACATATTGACATGTAAAAGATACTGGTAGCTCGAAAGGTCAAAACCATTTAAGCGCTTAACAATAATCAAAGTCGAGCATTTCTGTGAACACATTCTTTATTGTGCATTGACCTATTTCGTTCAAACATGATCTATGTATGCAAAAAATCATGGAAATTTGTGTTTCATATTATGCTATCTGATTCAAGATTGTCATCGTATCTGATCTTTTTTTTCTTTCCTATCAGCTCACCAAGGCCATTTATTGTATCTAAAATAGATTTTGACTTTAGTTTGCTCTCTTTTCACTCATATCAACCCACCAAAGCTGTTTATTCCACCGAAAACAGAAAAGAGATTTGATATTTAGTTTTCAACAGTTCATTCAGGACGGTTGACAGACATTTGTAACATGGGATTATCCGGTTATACAGACGAATCCAGTGGGGATTAGACCGACTGTGTTATACAGATATTGTGGTGTTCTTGAATGTTGCACTTAGGTTATAATAGTGAACGTGACTTTGGTGACGACAACATGGATACACCACTTATGGTCGGAACAATACGCACATGGTAGCATGTCAATTTGAATTCCAGGCAGTGTCACAAATAGTATTATTCAAAATGAACATTTCATTTCTTTTTATTTGACCCACGAATTTATCAATCAACTTAAATCATGG